CCTCCGCAATCCCATGGCGGGAGAGGACCTCCGACACTCCCAGTCCTCTGCCCACTCAACCCTGTCGCCGGGAGAACCCTGAGGGACCAGGAGAGGGGTGGGAGTAGCCCACGCTGTCCTCACCTAAGTTGGAAAGAAAAGAAACTCAGAAACCGAGACAGAACCGAGGTGGGCAGGGCTGGACTGTCCCAGCGAAGAAGTCTAAAGTAGACATGTCCAGCCGAAGACCGGCCTAGGGAAGAGAGAACGTGGGGAGTCCTGGGAATTACGCTGGGCTGCCCAAGTCAAGGGGCAGAGCCCAGGAATGATCCCCGCCCACCCGGAGGCAGCTGCGCTTCTGTTCTGTAAGCGAGCACCAGGCATTTTCCTGAGCCTCCTAAAGGTAGAGTGCGGCCCCTCCTTCCACCTGTCCCCCTCACTGAACAGCCGTCTAGACTTTCCCTTCCCAGGAGGTGCCCGAGGAGAGAGGTCCCTGTCAGGAGCCAGAATGCTCCACGCCTTGCTGTTATACTGCACGTTGTCATTTCATAACCCGGTCATTAGGGTGGATTGGTGTACACCCACCCTTTCTCCCTGGGGGAGAAGGTTTCCCAGATTTCTCTCCCTAGACAAGACCCTGGACTGAGGTGGGTTTAGGAAGATGCCACCCAGCAGAGCCTAAGAAGTAGAGAATGTCCTTCTCCATCTGTCTGTGTTCTTCTGGCTTCCAAGGGAGTGTGTTACAGAATTTACAACAAAGGAGTCTTGCCTCCCTAACCCTGTTATTTATTGATGTCTTTGCCGTGGGGCATGTTTGCTTACTGGGGAGAAGGAGAGACAGGGAGAGAGAAAGTGAGAAATCATCCCCCCAGGGAGGATGGCCATGCTGCAGTCCCTTCTCCATTCTCCTCTCTGGATTTTGGCACATAGGCACATGCACCTGGTGTGATTTTCAAGCTGCCAGGTCCAGGACCCAAACCATGGTCAGCTATGTGGGAGTCCAGCACCTTAACTACCATGCCACTTGCTGGCCCGCCTCTAACCCTTTTATTATCTATAGAATCTTAGAGCTGGAGGAATCCTAAAGATTATGTAGTCATTCCATTTTTTATAATAATGAATTGTTATTATTATTATTATTATTCAATTTGACCAGAGAGAGATACACAGAGTGAGAGAGAGGGAGAAAAGGAAAGCAAGCCACCATGTCTGGGACTTGAACCAGAGTTGGCCATGTGGGAGTCTGGTACCTTGTCTGCCATATCACGTGCCTGCCCCAATTATGTAATCATTCTTTTTTTTTTTGGAGAGGTTTTTGCTATGGGCACGGGTGCTCTCCTGAAAGACAGAGAGAGACAGAGAGACAGAAAGCGAGAAATCACCCCCCAGGGGGGATGGCCACGCCGCAATCCCCTCTCCTCCATTCTCTTCTCGGGATCTTGGGCATGCACGCACACGTGCCCGGCATGAGTTTAAGCCACCAGGTCCTGGACTCGAACCGCGGTCGACTACATGAGAATCCAGTGACATAGCCATGACGCTAACTGCTGGTCCCATCATTCTTAACTTTCTATTTTTAGCACATGGGCTGACTCACAGGTTCCTGTCCATGGCCATAATGGAGCCTGGTGCTCACGCTCACCCTATAGCTAGGTGCTGAGCAACACGCAGGTATAGAGAGGCATCGCATTGCAAGTAAACCAAGTCTATTTTTTAAAAATTTGCTCTAAGGTGTGGGCTTGCCTGAGACAGAGAGAGAGAGAGCACCTCCCCTCCATGGAGAATGGTCAAGTCACAATCCTTTCTCCTCCATTTCTCCCTCTCTTTGGGACTTGGCACCCACACACATGCACCCTGTGTGTTTTTCAAGTCACTGGGTCCAGAACTAGGACGGTGGTGAACCACGTGAGATCTAGCTTATCAAGCTACCAGGTCCGGGACTCAAACCGTGGTTGGCTACTTGGGAGCCCAACACCCAACCATCACGCCACTTGCTGGCCCCAGAGTCATTTATTTTTATTTTTATGTATTTATTTATTTATTTATTTTGGAGAGGTTTTTGCTATAGGGCGCGTGCGCTCGCCAGACAGAGAGAGACATAGAGACAGAAAGCGAGAAATCACCCCCCAGGGGGGATGGTCACGCCGCAATCTCTTTTTAAATTTAATTTAATTAATTAATTTTTTTCCCCAGAGTCATTTTTGTATCAGACTATTCCGGGGGAACATTCCACCATCCTGAGACTTTCAATATTATTATTATTCTTTAAGCTCATGTGGAAAGAATGATCCTCTCCGTTGTGAGCAGCTGTCAGTGTACTGTGTCTTTTTTTTTTTTTAATTTTTGTCACTGGGCACATGCGCTTGCTCGATACTCTCCCACATCCCTGAGGATGTCTACACTGCAATCCCTTCTCCATTTTCAGGATGTGGGGCACACATGCACACATCTTCCACATGATTTTCAAGCTGCTGCTCCAAGATCGTGGTGAACCGTTTGGGAGTCCAGCGCCTTCCCCATGCCACCTCCTGGCCCCATTGGACAGTGTCTTCGCATCAAGTCACAGTACCTTGCCCTTTGGGCCTGGCTTCCTCCCCACGTCTAATTATGAGGCCTTTCTAAGAACATTGGCTCCTTTCCTGGGTAGGAAAATGTGCTCTGTACTTAAACGTTCTATCTATTTTACCCTAAATCAAGAGGAAGGTAATTATTTGGCTATAAACTGATGAACTGAGAAAAATGGAAAATGATGTTAAATAGGAAAAACAACCAAAATGATAGCGAAATCATTTCCTTTTCACTATCTATAAGTGGACTGGCTCAATATAGAATATCTAAAAGTTTAGTGGCATAGGACAATTTCTTTTTTTGGGGGGGAGGTTTTTGCTATAGGGCACATGCGCTTGCCAGAAAGACAGAGAGTCAGAAAGTGAGAAATCACCCCCCAGGGGGGATGGTCACGCTGCAACCCCTTCTCCTCCATTCTCCTCTAGGGATCTTGGGCACACACGCACACGCGCCCGTGAGTTTAAGCCACTGGGTCCAGGACTCGAACTGCGGTCAATTACATGGGAGTCCAGCAACATAGCCATTACACCAACTGCTGGTCTCCAAATCACAGTCATTTTAAGGGAAGTTTGGGTTTCGCCTACTTGTGTAATCTTAACAGATGGAGACTATGCTTTTAAAGAATTACTAAAATTAGAATCCTCTTAAAGAACCTGTAAAGAGAGAAAAATCAGCCTTTGAGGTAGCATGAGGGTCAAGCTGACTTTTAGCTATATGCAACCTATTTTTAAAAAAAGACTTATCATAGAGACAGTGCCGGGCCAAGTGAGAGCCAGACGGTGACTCTGTGCCTGTGAAGAAAAGAAAACTAAACAGTGGCAAAGGAAGCCAAGAGGCAAAGTGTCATCATATGCATTCTTTGTGCAAACTTGCCGGGAGGAGCACAAGAAGAAGCACCCAGATGCTTCGGTTGACTTCTCAGGGTTTCTAAGAAGTGCTCAGAGAGGTGAAGACCATGTCTGCTAAAGAGAAAGATAAGTTTGAAGATATGGCAAAGGCGGACAAGGCCCGCTATTAAAGAGAAATGAAAACCTATATCCCTCCTAAAGGGGAGGGACCAGCAGTTAGCTTAATGGCTATGTTGGTGGACTCCCACGTAGTCGACCGTGGTTCGCATCCTGGACCCGGTGGCTTAA